CAAGAGTGAAGGAAAGGCAACTCGAAAAGGAAACAATCGGTAACAAGTAGTTCCGGAATAAAAAGAGAGTACGAGTGAGCATACAATTTCATGTAAATTTCTTATTGCATTCAATTTTTCCTAAAGAAAATTGTTTCTAAAAAATGAAACCATCGATAAATGAAATTATTATGTTTTCGGGTTGATCAAGAAAATATTTGATGGTTGTCTGATTAGACGAGCTCTCACATAAATTAAGTATCACTTGTAGTCAGGTTGAATCATCACCCATGAAAATTTTACGTTTTGTGAAAAATGTCGTACAGATAACGTAGTTATGATTTTCTCCCACTAAACTTGGCCAATATTTTTTTGTTTATTTTTCGATGGAGCCGGCCAAATCGGACTTTCGGACAAGGACATGTTTGGGCGCTGCAATGCTCCTCAAGGGGCCAACTAATGGGGTCTTGCCATGTCACCAAAAGTCAAATACCCATATAGGTCAAACAGATTTAACTCGGGCAAGTTCGGCGTTTCTGTCCCACGTGGCAAACCCGCGTCAAAGCTACACTATCGTACGCCCTCACCCGCTCCGCAGCGGATTATTCTCCCGGAAAACTTGTATGCATATTTCCCCTATTGGCGATAGCTCTGCATAGAGGCAACACAAACCAGGTAGTGCTCATCATTCTCTCTCAAGAATTTTCTCACACTTTCTCGTCCTCCAAACACGCATTTCGCCAAACCCTAAGATATTTTCCCGGAAAATTTTGCACACGAAGAGTTTCAATCTTCACTGGAAGCTCTGATTTCGTCAGCATTGTCAAAGTTTTGCTTTCTTTTCTTTTTCTTTTATTTATTTATAATCATTTCCTTAATTTTCTAGTAATTTTTTGCTTCTTATTTCTCTGTCCGTACAGAGAAACACAGAGTATTGAAGATTTTGCATATTTTTGCATCTTGATCTTTGAAGGTTTGTGGAGGAGGGAGAAAATCTGCAGTTGATTTGAAGCGACTGGTTAAAATGCCGGATTTTCCGGGAAAATGAGCTCGGAAACTGACGACCAAGGTCGACTTCCGCACTCAGAATCGGACGCACAAGACCTCGCCAAGTAATCAAATCTCGCTTTTCAAGTATTCTTTGCATTATTATAATCTGTTGAGCTGATCTTCCTAATAAAATATTCGATATGCTACTTTTACTGTTATAATATTATTTACTGTTTGGATACCGAGAAAATGAAGTGAATTAAACCTGCTCAAATTTCTGTTTGGTTACCGAGAAAATATTCTCCGAGACTAGTGTTGTTTTTGTGATTTTACTTTTACTGAAGTCACTAAACCTGCTTAAATGCTGTAATATTAGCCTAATTAGCTGACAACTTGTTTATTATTTTCTGAATTTTATTCAGACATTCAAGGATTACATATAGTAGGGATATTTTGTTCTCTCTGGCAAATGTGGATGCAAGCATAAAACTTCCGAGTGGGATCGAATCTTCGATTTTAAGGTACAATACTTAATGCTTGGTTGTTTACATATTTTTCGAAATTATTCTGTGTATATAGCTATTGGTTCTTGCTCTTATGCTTTTACTTTGATGATTGTCCTGGAACAGTGAACTTTATTCTGTGTGTCCTCGTTCGTCACAACCTTCTCGTGATTCAGGTGTGTAGTTTATGCTGTCTTTAACCTTCCGCATTTTGCGAACTATTCCTCTGCATTTGGAGAGTGCTCTTGCATTTTGATTCTGTTTATTATGAGCGTCCATGTGAAAGATGGCATGACAACGTACATAAATGACATGTTTGTTGCAAGACTCAGAATATCGTGGACTTCTTGGAGACGGGCACGAACTGGGGCTGTATGGACGCTTTCCTGGGGATTCTGTTTCCATGTTGCAAAACAGTCCTCATCTACTCCATAAAAGCAAAGAACCATATCGTCCTCGCCAACTCTATCAGGTCCGATTGATAATTTTCTTGTTCTATTTCAAACTACGGCATTAGCCAAGCCTGTATGATGTCTTTAAGTAGTTCTCATTAGCCTTTTTTGGTCCTTATATATTTGCATGGATTTAGGTGTTGCTAAAGACATCTACTTAACAGTTTTAATTTATAACCTTTCAGGCAGTGAATCGTTCGAAGACAAACCCTTGGAATTCTTACAATGATGAGACTTTTGGTTCTTCTGAGTGTCTAAGTCAGAAGGAAGAGGAGGAGGGAAACATTACAAGAGGTGCGACGATCTTGTGCTATTGCATTCAAAAATACCGAAGTTTTGGGTTGTAGTTATGTAGCGCTTTCTTGCCTTTTTAGTTTGCTTCTTCAATAGATTATGAAGAAGTTTCCTAATGCAAATGTAAATGAAGAAGTTTCTCAATGCAAATGTAAACTACTGACTATCAGTTTTGTTTGGTGGCAGAAGCACAGGAAAAAGCCGTCCAGGAGAAGCAAACTCAAAATTCAAACGAGCATGACGAAACTTCCAAATTTGGCTTGCCTCTTGAGGATTCTGCTAATAGTACGAGAAACAAATGTGAAACATCAGAGGAACATGTAGTATCCCCTGCTTCAGCTGTCAATTCTTCCAGCAGTGCATCTCAACAAACTCCTGTATCTGGACAAGAATTATCCCCAGGTCTCCTGGCCATATCCGTTGACGAGGATACTGAAACAAAATTCTTAATTGATTCGATCATACCAGGGGTACGCATGATGATTAACTAACTTATTAGTCTAAATTTGAACATCATTTTTGTGTCTCACCCCTTTGTAAATGTCATGCCCGCAGCATTCTGATCTGACCACAATTCACCCCGAGGACCCTGAAATCTGTTCTAAATTTGTTCACCGGTTTCATGTTACAGGTAGAGTTGCAAATGTTGATTGTTCTTTAGTAGGCTTAATATTTGTGGAACTTATGGTTTCAACTGAACATTTTGACCTCTGTGCATTAAATTTTTTGCATTTCTCCAGAGAGAACGCCTAGCTGTGGCATCTCTTGCTTTGAACGGTCTGAATTTATAGCTCATGAAGTTTCAGAGGACCTGACTCAAGAACCATCATATGGTACAGGTTCCGGAGAGGGGTTGCAATCAACTGATGCATCTTCTTTCATTCAACAAGGTTCTGTTGAAAGGTCAGGAAAGAATGGCATTTTAGAACCAGTGCAATTTGCCACTTCCAATTGCAGATAACTATGTCTTTCCTTCAACCACTGAAGAATATGGACTCATTTCCATGAATGGGGAAGACAGCTTGTCCTCAAGCTCTGGTGAACAAAGTAAGAGCAGGGAAACTCAGTTAGTTTCTGATGATTTTGTAGAAAAACTCAGATTGGGTGTTCAATTTGCCCCTGGATCAGAATCTATAGCTCATGGAGTGTCAAAGGACTTGACCCGAGAACCATCATATGGTATAGTTTCTGGGAAGGGATTGCAATCAACTGATGCAACTTCTTTAATTCAGCAAAGCTCTTTAGAAAGGTCAGCAAGGAATGATGTTTCAGAACCATGCAAGTCCCCACTTCCTATTGACGAATATGCACTCATTTGGCTGGATTGTGAAAACATGCTGTTTTCAAGCTCTGGTGAGCAAAGTAAGAGCAGGGAAAATCAGTTGGTCTCTAATGATTTGCTCGAAAACATGAGATCCGGTGTTCCATTTGACCCAGGGTTGATACACAATCCTGTCAAGCTGCATTGATGATACAGGAAAGTTTTCCCATTGAGCTTCTTTTGCCTGATGAGGACAGCCTAATTACAGCGGATGACTTCAAGTTTACACCCGAAAAGGACAATAACACAAGTGAAGGAAGTCCAGTCAAAGCTGATGGGGTAAACTCAAGTTCACCGTTTGCTATTTCTACGAATCTAACAGGCTTGAATATTTTCAAAGATGAAAAATCTACTCAACTGAGTTCTGAAGATTCCACTTCCTTCTGTAATTCGTATAATGTTGTCACTGGCGTGGGGTACTTACTGTCACAGTCAAGAACTGCAGGCATGCAGAAGTCCTGCAACATTTCCTTGGGTACGAACCATACAATCAAGACAGACGAAACAAACATCTTTTTGTCCATTAGATTCTCAACCAGCTCAAGCTCGCAAGGCCTCCGTCCCATCCCACCATCCTTTCTCTACTAATATACTCCCCAGTACTGTCCATCACTCCCTTGCAAAACAACACCAGCAACTGCAGCAGATGCACGTTCCAGGAAGGATTCCACAACACCAACTTAGCGGGTGTCCCAGAGGTGCAATGGCTCATTTTCCTTGTGATCAATCTCGTTACTTGCAGGAGTTTGGCCCTACTCAAGATTTTCCTTTGAACTACCAGTCACCAAGTCACGGAACTTTCGAAATGCCAGATCTAGGTACGATGTGGGAAGTTAGTTAATCTGATATTTTAGCATCGAATCTCTTTCGAGCTTTCTACCCGCTGTCATAATTCGGAAAAGTATGATCTAGTAGTAATATTTGTTTCCGTTGCTTTTGGTGCTTTCAGGGTTTCGTGTCCATGGGAGCACCGATGATCTGACTTTCAATACCCCTCTGGATGAAACTCAGCGCAAGGCGGGGACAGGCTTCTACCTTGGCCGGCCATACTCGGACAACCTATGAGAAACAAAGCAGTTAACGAACATCTTTACGGCATCAGCTTATACGTTGATTCTACCAATCTGTAGATGATGCGACTGTAAATATTCGGTGTCCACTTTAAGTTTGACTATTAGTTTCTACTGAAATATGACTCTGTACAAGGAAAGCAACGACACGTAAAAGGCGAAAATAGAACAGCAGCTTAAGAAGCTTAAAGAAAAGGGGGAGAAAAGTTATCTTTACGATTCTGGCTCGATTTTGTTCGTTAAAATTTAGTACTTGTATTCTGTTGTGAAAACTATTTCAAGTTGAACCGAAAACCGCCGGAGAATGGTTTGAGATGCCAGATGAATGACTAGGAATCGCGCCCAAGCCACAAGGGCTTCTGGTGCGATTATTGTACACAAAAAACCGAGATTATAGCATACAGCAATTCGGACGTATCCAATTTCAAGAGGAATTCAAACAGGCGTGCAAATACTGCGCCAACATCGCATAATCTACAACGAAAACTTGAATACAACAGGATGTACAAAATACCATTCACCTAACTTGAACTAACTACCGAAACCCATTACTTGTATCTTGATGTATACAACCACAGCAAAATGCCATATCAAGTGACATGTTATGTGGTCGACGAGCTCACAACACTTACAACGCAGTATCACGACGAGTCAGTACCTAGATGAAATCCTGACACTTTCTAATAGTTGCCGTTTCATCTGCTGGATGCCAAAACCAGTTGGGCAAAGATCAGATTTGAAATTCAAGCACTGCCAACGGGATGAGAAGAAAGCTTCCAAGTTCCAGAACTACCACTTAAGCAACTTTCTCATGTTGATTGTCACAACGGCCTTTAGTTGCATCACTGAGATTCCCTGTATCTGCATCCATCTTGTAGGATGAAAGCAACTGTCTCTGGATCCAATTTAAAAGTTCATCAATATACTTGCTGAGATCATCAACTAAATAAACTATAGCTTGTTATGATCAATCTTCCTCCAAAAGTAAAAGCAAAGCTAAGAATAAATCAGAGGTTAGTGGAACGGAAATTTACATGATCCTCGAAATCAGGATTGGTCAAATTCATGGACAGGTTTCGCATCAACAGTAATACCTGAAGAGGAGCCAAAGAAAAACAATAAGATCACAAGCCAATTACAATTACAAAAGAAAATTGTAAATCTATACAAGGCAGTAACCGAACACAACATACAAACATATAGACTACAGTCAAAACTTAAAAGTGATTGCACACGAGGTCAGAAAGGAGAAAGGAAGTACCGTTTCAACATCTATCGGATCCATCTTCTTCAGATTCTGCATATGACCTGTAACATTGGGGTCAAAGACACTGCCAATGAATCCGTATACTTGAGTAAAGTCGGGAAGAACTGCATAAAACAAATAAGTGTCATATTCATGGAAAAACACTTTTTTCTAGCTATAAATTTGTAATCTATCTCAGGCCACAGCACACAGCACACAGCAAACAAAACGGGTGACATACAAATTCAAAAGTTGCAACTGTGCATTGCTAATGAAAATCCAGATTCATTACTGGTTCCAACTGTGACAAGCCGTTAGACATGTAGACTTATCCAGAGAAGAGAGTACATAAATAGTGCAATTCCTTGTCTATGACACATACAAAAATGCAGACCAAGGCCATGACAACAATGATGTGAACTTTTCCGGTGTTTAACAGAACAAATGAAGGAAACATACGCATAGCTGTGTTTATCTCCTAAAAGTTTGATATACTGAGTACCCAATTATATGTTGAAACAGAAAATCTGTGCGCACATACAAGAATGAAATTCCATGTTCTTGCCAGAATATATCCCACTTCAAGGTGACAGAGTTCAAATTCAATATCAAAGAATTAGAATCATTACGTGACTAAAGTTGTCGGCTGAGAAAAAACTGCAAACAGGAAGACTGAAGCCTCACCTCTCAATGCATGGCTATGGTTCACTTGATCAGTTGTTCCACCAACTGGTTGAGCTTTAGGGGTGCTTTCTGTGGTGCTGCAACTGTTGTTCTGCACAGTTGCTGGCCCCGACACACCTACCACATGAAAAAGAAATCATCAATTTGTGAACGACAACATTAATGTACACTGAGATCAAGTCATTGTGACGAATTAACTTATTTAATAGTTGCACCTTTGGACTCATGAGATGGATTGGCTGATTGCACAGAACCATTAGTCCAAGAAGGGGCTACAGGGCCAGGGATGGGACTCATAAGCATTGATGATGAATCTGGCCTTTGATTAAACCCAGATTCAAGTAAAGCAGATGAAGATAGACATGACCCGGATACCCGCGGAAGTGCCAAAGCTGGAAAACATAGCACATATGAGCAAGGGTTGTACAGACTTTGTCATATGAAAAACAGGATACACAAAACAGAAACTATTCACACCATTTTTTGAAGCTTTTTGAGGATACGGATGAGCAGCTTTCCTTTTTGGCCTAGGGGGAGGTAGATGCTCGCTTGTCCCATTCTTTTGAACCTTCAGAAAATACTTCTGTGCATGACTACGTATCTGCAAAAAGAATCCTTCTTATGAGTAAGGGAGTTCATTCTTTCCTAATTGATGAATTTGTAGACATAAGACTAAATCAAAAGCATAAGTTGGTGATAATCGAAACTCAAGCAGTCTTCCTCTTGCATAGGAAACTATAGAACGAATCAAGAAAAGTAACCTGTATGACTGTCTTTGACCCAATGAAAGCTTCAATCTTTTTCCAATCGCGATCGAAGCTGAGTACAACAGAGGGAACATTAACAAAATTAGGGAATAACCCAAAAATTTATACCAAATTGAGCTTAAACTCAAATGGGCTGAGCATCATAACAAATAATAATACAATTTATTGTTGAGAAAATCAATTGCCACTAAAATCCTACTCTTTTTCCACATTCCCAAAACTTCTATCTTCTTTTTTTCCTACTAAATCCTACTCTTTCTCAACAACCAAACAAATCCTACTCTTTTTCCACTAAAGTCCTACACTTTCTCAACAACCAAACAAGTCCTTACAAACCTCAAAAACACAAACAAAATTTATACCATTTCTTTCCCACATTTTAAACCCAATTCAAAACTAAATTCCTACTCTTTTTCCACATTCCTGAAACTTCTCCTTTTTTCTTCCTTTCCTAAATTTTCTCATCAACCAAACAAATCTTACAAATTTCAACACACAAAATCTACACCATTTTTTTCCCCACATTTCAACACCCAATTCGTAAAACTCTATCCCCCTAAATTCATATGTAACATATACAGAATTGAAGAATTAAGAGAATTGTGAAGCTAATTAAACAAAAAAATAATTAAAGAAATTATGAAATTAAGAGAATTTAAATTTACAGCTGGAGGGCTTCGAGGAACTTGTCGTGCTCCGGTTCGCTCCAGCTCTCTCTGGACTTGGTAATAGTGTAGGGCTTCCGAATCTTCTTGCTGAGATCCTCCGCCGAAGACGAGGTCGTTGACGCCGTCGCAGTGACCGGGGCGAACGGCCCGAGTCCGGGCAACGCCATGCCGTTTACGTCCGGATCCAAGTACAAGCCCTCTGGCAGGTTCGGGTTTTTGGATACCATAAATTGCGGAATGGTCGGATTCGGGTTTTTTTGATGAAGGAAGCCGCGGCTCTTCTGGAGGCGGCGGAAATTTTATATAAGGACTCGGGGATTGTTGGATGCGGCGGAGATTTAGGTGGGTGTGCAGGTATCCAATAGTAGCTCGCCACGTTTACGGTCATGAGATTGACGGATTGGTTCTTTCCATTTTTAGGAAAATTTGGGAAATAAGATTAAAAAAAAAAATTATTATTAATAATGTGAAAGAGAAGAAACAGAGTGGTGAAGGGAAAGGAGGAGGGCAAGGGGAAGACGGGCGGGAGGCTAGAAGGAAGGAGGAAATGGGCTGCCACCAACTCCTTGCTCCACCAACTCCAAGCTGGAGCAAGGAGTTGTTGCCTGTGATCCCTCTTGAGACATCTCGAGGAATGCTGAAAGCTAAAATTCCGTTTAAAATTTTCTTGAGACAACATTTGGACAAAATACATATTCAAACTCCCCTTCAATCATTAAAATTTTAAGAGTAAAAATAGGATTAAAAGTCTTAAACATGAACAACTTTGCCTATTTATCAAAAGCGACCAACAAATTAAGTGCAACGGATGTTCCAAGTAGGGAAAGATGATATGATTTAGCAAATTAACACGTGAACAAAATGTTTAAGTTGAGTGACCCAATTAAGGTACATACCGAATTAGTGACCAACTACGAGAACATGAGATGAGTAGACTTCCTCACCAAAAGGAGAAGGAAACCATGTTGAACTTGGATGATCATGATTTGATTGCTTTATACACAATTTTTCTCACCCAATGCTCTCCCCTTTTTTTTTTTTAATTAAACAAATCAAATAAAACGACGTGCATAAGATGAAGAATGATGTACATAAATCACTCTTGGGAAGAGCTACAATGACACATCTCGACTCGAGTTTAATAGGCTTTAGAATCCTTGATGTCGAGACGTAAAGGCATAATATTCCCTCATTAGTATAGGGGTGATTCGTAATTTTGTAATTAGCACTTTTTGTTGTGGTACATTGTGTACTTTCACTGTAGATATTTAGTTGCTCTAATTTCTCGTACATACATTTACTAAGGGTTCATCACACTCATTGGACATTGAGCACTCTACTATATTTTATACTATTTTTTAATTTATTCATAATTTTTACACATCACATCACTTTCACATTATGATTTTGTCATCTTTAAAATTGACCGACACACATTAATTTCGGAGTCCATCATGTCATCGTAATCGGGATGTTCATAAAACTTTGTTCCCATCCACAAAAGTTAATTTAATTTTGGTTGTTTGTGGTAACAGTGGACTTGTGTGAACCAGGAACCAGTGCATCACCTCTCAATTTTTACCAACCAAACCTTAAAAGGTTAACAGAAGATTGTGGATTGTCGAGAAAAAGATTTGATTTAATTTGGGTTTGCAAAATAGGGACTCCAATGAAGCAGACACATGGTCTTTGGACTGGGAGCTCAGGGTTTTGCGTGAAATATCATGTGGCCGAGTTTGTGGCCACTCATTCAAGTTAATACATAGAGAGCAAATGGACCATAGATTTTTAGGAAAACTAATGAAAATGAATTGAAATTTCTGAGTTTTAACGTTAAAAATAAAATAAAGAGTAATATGAATAGTACCAGGATTGACTTTTTAGTATAAAAATATAATTTTTCGTTAAAGTGAACAATACCGAAAACTTTTCGTTAAGATTCTCTAGATTTTTCCATATATTTTAGACAGCCAACCCCACCACATCTTGCTTTCCACGCCATTTTGTTTCTTAATTTTTAGAATTTTTGTTTTAATAGTTTGAAGAATCAACGGTTTGATTTTGTATTTAGAAATAAAAATAAAAAAGAATTTTAATGAAAAACTCTTGGTATTGTTCACTTTAACGAAAATCCATATGTTTACACTAAAAAGTCAATCCTGGTACAATTCACTTTACCCTTTATTTTGTTCTTATCGTTAAAACTCAAAGTTTTTAAACCATTTTCATTAGTTTTCATAAAATAAAATTTTACAATAATTATGTCACATCCCGACCCGGGGTCCACCACATCCTAGGCCCGCTCCACTATCGTAGCATGATATTGTTCGCTTTGGACCCCGACTACGCCCTCACGGTTTTGTTTCTGGGAACTCAGACAAGAACTTCCCAGTGGGTCACCTATCATGGGAGTGCTCTCGCGCGTTACTCGCTTAACTTCAGAGTTCTCATGGAACCTGAAGCCAGTGAGCTCTCAAAAAGCCTCGTGCTAGGTAGAGATAAGAATATACATATAAGGCTTACATGATTCACTCCCCTGGACGATGTGGGATGTTATAGATTAGATCTTGCATATAACTTATACCTCTTCATTTTTTTGTTGGAATTGGCATACGAAATGAAGCATGATGTTTACATTATTAAGTGTCCTTATATCTCTTTTATCAAATGAAGTATTTTTTTATTTTTCTATTGAGTGTCTTTGCCGACTACGTTGTATTTTTCAAAAACTCCAAGGTTGGTGTAGATATCTAAAAGAAAAGAAGGCAAAATCTCAAGCGCACGAATCGGCTATTATTTTTTACTTAAAGAGATTTTTAAACGTAACTTGACTATTAGCACGTTGAAAATCTTCGTAAACGAAAATTAAATGGAAAGAAAACATAAATATAAGGATAATCACAGGGGTGTGTGAGAAATGTTTGAGTCCAGGGAGAAGTTTGATAGGTTTTATCAAGAAGTGGAGTATGCTTGATGAACACAAAGATGCCATGAATTATATTAGAAAGAGATGAAATATAAAAAATAGAGGAGATGAGTGTACAGAGAAAGAAAAAAAAATTGATTAAGTAAAAGGGCAATTTTGAAATATTTTAAAAATTATTTTAGGTGTCCAAAGAAAGGTGAAGAAAAATTTGAGTGTCCAAATTATATGGGTGTTGAAAAACAGAAGTTAGGTGTAAACATAATTTTTCAAAATTCTTACGTGCAACTACTTGTATACGCATACGGATCCTCGGACTCCGAATTTAAGCCTGTCGTATATCAAATAATAACTTTTTATATCCTGCTCAAATTAAGCATGTTACTAGCTTCGATTAATGCAGTGAGAATCTTAAAACTAGAGGATATGGTATATATACCAGATGCAGAGATGCAGAAGTAGTAACCCTGCAAAAGACATAGGCTATCTAGCGGACACTATACCTTCCACCCGTGTGACACTAACCCTTAATCAAATTATTTAAGAAATAAAAGAAACATTAAAAATACCGTTCACACTATGACCGTGATGCATCCCTACCAGAAAGAGAGTTTTTATTTGTCTAATAGCTGACGGGATCACATACAAGGACGGAAGAAAATGCAATGCAGGGGCCTTGTTTGTGTGTGTGAGATCCTAAAAAAGTTACAATTTACCTTGTTGTAAGTAGAGACTTTTGAGCACATGAGCACGTGGTCCGAAAGGAACTCTTAAAAAAGTAGAATTTGCTTTGTCGTAAAGAAAGACCATTGTGTATGGGGTTTTTTTTTTTAATGTGTGTGTAATTGCATGGCCACATGATTTGATGGGTAGACAAAAAAAAGTTAGAATTTGCCTTGTCGCAAAAAGAGACTCTTGGGTACGGACTCTTTTTATGTGTATGTAACTGCATGGCCACATGAATCGAAGAGTAGACACTTTAAAAGTTAAAATTTGCCTTGTCGCAAATAAAGACTCTTAAGTACGGGCAACAACCCCTCACAATGAGTGTGGAACTTCGTATCACAGGGTCGACTCTCATTATGACGATTCTGTTTGAACGGTGACTCGTGCATCTGGTCCGACCCAAGAAAAAGTACTATCTGTTGGTCTTGACTTTCCAATTAATGCACGTATTGTGTGTTTGTTTAGTATTTTTAACTCTATTTTACTTCTCGTTTTAATTTTTTGATATTTATTTATAGTTTGATTTCTTTGTTAGAGGTGCCCTTAAGAAGAGCACATAAATATTAAAAAAATAAAAAAGACGTGTGGGAGGAAAAGTAATTTTAAAGGACTAACTATATATATTTTACACTTTCAAGGCTTGAAAGGTGGCCGTGGGGATATGGAGACCTACCATCGACGACGACCCACAAGAAACTAGAGTCGTTCCAAAAATTTGTTCATTAAACCAACGACTCAGAATTAACGTTGGTTACTTCACGGAAGGAACCAGCAAACACTTATGATTGCAGATACTTATCAAAAACCATTGAACTTTTCAAAATGTGTTCGAAGCCATTACGGTGTCGTTTGGCAGCCGGAGATTACTGATAACATAGTTCTTAGGCCTCGTTTGGTTTTAAAATAACTTAAACCGTTTTAGATGAAAATATTTTTAAAACTAATCCCTTGTAAAAATTCAAGTAAATTTTAGAAAAACATTTTAAATTTTGTAAACCAAAAGTTAATTTCACAAAAAGTAAATTCAGTCATTTCAAAAATACTTCTAAACAAACTCTTACGCTTCTAGTATTTGGTTACATGATGATGTTGTAAAGAATATCAAAATTTAATTAATTTTCGCTTGCAGCCGAAATTAGCACGTGATTTTGATAACCGTAGAGTGTACTTTTTGCAACTTGACTCTTGACTAGTTGCCCGTTGACTCAGTTCCTTCTTTGTAAGTTCTTCTTCTCTTTCCAACCTTCAATTATTCAGTATAAATTGCAGTCCCCCAAGGGCTCTTCACTTCAGCAAGACACTTTCAACGTCTCTCTTTCTCTTAATTACTAATATAATCTCGTTTTATTTTCTTAATTTCTTGGATTCTGCTGAGATATTTGAAGTGTTTGATTCAACTTCTTGCTCTCAGATCACTCAAGCTCCACAGAAAAATGAAGGTAATTAGGGTTTCTCTTTCTGCAGACAACTTTTTAATGTGATTTTTACATAAAAGATGTGCATGCATGAGTGATGATGCTACTCTTGGGTAAACCCAAAACTTACTTTTGGAAAATCTTGTCTAACCTTCACTTTTTTTTATTTTTTTTTTTATTTTATACTAATTTGTCACTTGGTTCTGATTTTGATCGTTGCTTATTTTTTCTGACAGAAAGTAGTGTTGAAATTGGAATTATACGGCGACA